TCAACTTCCCAGTATGGATATTACACATCAACAATTCCACAAAAATTGAGAACATAGGAAGAGTAGAAAATTAAGTGTGGATGTCAGTATGAGTGGCTTATCTTGCTCAATTATTTGGAAGAGACTCTGAATCCATCAGAAATGGCTGGAGAGAAAAGGAAATTAGAGTCTAGACTAGGAAAAATGGGAGATTTAATGTAGATGGAAAGAATAATACAAAACCCAGGAAGATTCAGATGTGAAAAGGAAAAGAGTCTGGGAGTGTTGGTCAGCACTTGGATGAACTTGAGCCAGCAGTATGCCCAGGTGGCCAAGAACGCCAGTGGCATCTTGGTTTGTATCAGAGGTAGCATGGCTAGCAGCACCGGAGAGGTGATCATCCCTCTCTGCTCAGCTCTGGTGAGGCTGCACCTTGAGTACTGTGTTCAGTTCTGGGCCACTCACAAAAAGAAAGACATAGAGGCCTTGAAGTGTGTTCCAAGTGAAGGGTAACAAAGCTGGTGAGGAGCCTGGAGAACAAGTCTTACGAGGAGCTACTGAGGGACCCCAGATTGCTTAGTCTGGAGAAGAGGAGGCTGAGGGGAGGCCTTATAGTTCTCTACAACTTCCTGAAAGGAGTTTATGCTAAGGTTGGGTTTGCCTCTTATCCCACACAACAGCGATAGGATTAGAGGTAATGCCTCAAGCCGCACCAGGGGTGATTCATATTAGATATTAGGAAAAAATTATTTTCTGCAAGACTGGTCGGCTACTGGAATGAGCTACCCGTGAAAGTGAAGGAATCACCACCACTGGAGGTATTCAAGAAATGTGCAGATGCTGTGCTTAGAAACATGATTTAGTGGGATATATTTGAGGTAGGTGGACAGTTGGACTAGATGATCTTAGAAGTCTTTTTCAACCTTAATGATTCTATGGTTCTATGAGGCTGGCAAAGAAGCAGCATGTTTTAGAACACTGTTCCATCTTGTAATTTACTCAAATTGCCTTCTATGTGAGGGCAAATAAGTTCTTTTCACAATGATCCTGAGTGGCTGGGTTTCTTTGGTTGTATCTGAGTACAGGAAGACACATTCAAGATTGTAGCAATCGTGACAGCCTCAAAGTGAATCACAGAAGTAAAACCCAAATCCTAAATTCTGACCTATTTCAGAATTTTCAAATGCATTTTTTAGATCATTCATGAAAGCAATTTACAAAGCAGAATGTGTGCATTTGTGCTTGTGTGCATGTCTGCAAACACAAACGGTTGAGGCTGATCTTGATAAACTCAAAGAATAGACCAAATTTTATCCAAGTATCTCCCATATCACTTTCAGTATTTGTGAGATGGACTGCAATCCAAGATCTCAAAGCAGGCATATAAGTTGTTTTCTCACTTTTTTATGGTAAAAACAAATCACATCCATTTTATTACCATAGTTACAGACTGTTAAAATTACTGAGGTTAGGAGTTTAACTGATGTAGAGCCACCCACTGCTACCCTTAGAAATGCATCTCTAATTCAGCATCAGAAAAGTTCCTGCATATAAAGATGTCAGGGATCACCATTTATACACTGGCTGCTTCCCAGAATAATCAGACCTTTGGCCACTCTAGGGGAGAAGAGGCTAATGTCATGTTTTTCAGTCATTGCTTGTTTCTCCCATTAAAATGTGATTAGTTCCCTGCAGCACTGAACTGCGTCCTATCAAATCACAGCACGAAAATTAGTTATTTATATCTATGCAAACAAGAAATACAATGAAATCTTGTTTCTGCTCTCATAAGTCTTCCCAACTCTGTAGACATTTAATGTGCCACTTTATTATTATTATTTTTTTTAGTAGTTACTACTTATACGTCCTGTTTAAATCCCATTGTTTTATGCTCACTTATATGGTTAACTCAGTTTATGGCATGAAAACCTTCCCTGAGTAGATATTGATACTCTCATCACCAGTGCTGTCTTAAAACTCGCAGTCCACACAAAGGCACACAAAGCACAGGAGTTATTTAACCCTATATCATGTATAATCAAATGCAGTAATTTCACAGATCTTAAAGAATAACGGAATTGGTTGAGAGCTGATGAGACATTTCAGGTTACTCTGCACTCTGGCTAAGGAAAGGAAAAGAATAAGTTATCCTGAATGTATTAATCTAAGAAATAAATGAAATCATTCAACTTTGCTCTTAATAAATTATTCAGGAAAGAAGAGTATTTTGATCCCCTAAACTTAGAATGTTTTTTCTAGGGCATAAGATAAAGTGTAACAATTTCAGACCAATAGGAAAGGGAACATGACTGGCTGAGCATTGGTAGATGGAGCCAGTCAGCCTTGCCACTGACAGAAAACTACCATGCACAGAATGGCACAAAGGAAATGTTTTTCTTCAGAAACAACAGAGCACTGATATCCATGCCTAAAGAGCTCCATTGACCCCATCAGCATGAGCACACTGTGTAAATCCAGCACAGTCCATGGGTCAGAACACTGTGTGCAGAACCTGCTGCTAGTATCCTGGTGTGATCCAGAGGAGATGTCTTTTGCTGCTCCCAAATTTCAAGTTCTACCAGCATAAAGTCCTATTACTCTTGGGGTATTTAGACCAAATTTTGGTTGTCCAGTTAGATTATTGTTTCTATTACTGTATTTTTTATTTATTTATTTTTTAAACCAAGACACAAAGGGAATGTAGAACACAATATGTGTTTCAAGCAACTACAAAGAAGGGCTTTTTCCTTTGGAGTGCTCTTAGACCTCCACAGTATATAGAAATAAGAGCTCAGCACTTTGTATTAACAGGTCCTAGAATCATTAAACAATTGCCATGGGATAATAATTATTCTAACTTGCAGGTCTGCATACTTCAGAGGTGAAAAGGATCTGAAAGAAGAGTACATTGAGCAGAAATGTGAAAATACCAAATGACCATGTTCTGATTCAGGGGCACTTTCCCTCCTTTCCCCATTTTTATAAGTATTTTACACTCACAGCTGGCAAAATTCTGGGACAGTCTAACACAATGCCTGCCTAAAAATTAGATTTAATGGAATATGCACTGTGGATTTATTTCCTGATGTTCTGCGGTAATAAACTCACATTCCTAAAGACAATTAAAAAGCAAAGAAGAATTAAGCCAGGAAGTTTCTTGGCTGCCATCTACTGTTCAAAACTCTTGAATGCAGGATGTGAAGGAAAATAAATTCATAGAATGTACATCAGCATCTCCAGGTTTTCTCCTTTTCTTTAATCTCCTTGGATAAAAGCTGTATCTTTGAAATGTTCTTAAAGACCACTAAATTTTTGTAAGGATTCTGCGAGTGGACTCACTTATTAATCAGTAACAGAAATGAGAAACACAAAGTCTTGAATACTTAAAAAGTTTAATTCACACTAATTTAGGAAGAATACTATGAATTGCATATATGCAGGAATGTATACTATAATGCATATATGCATTATAAAAAGGTGTGTCCAACAAGTTGAGTGAGGTGATTCTCCCTTTCTATTCTGCACTGGTGAGGCATGGAAAAGACTGAGATGGGATGTTAGCAACACAAGTATCTAAGGATGTCAGGAGGATAGGACCAGGCTCTTTTTCGGCAGCGCTCAGCAACAGACAAAGAGGCAATGGGTACAAATTGGAACATATGAAGTTCCATGCAAACATGAAAAAAAATTCTTTATTTTGTGAATTACAAGCATTGGAACAGGCTGCCCAGGGAGGCTTTAGAGTCTGAATATCTGGAGATATTAAAACCTGCCTGGATGCTTTCCTTTGCAGCCTACTCTAGGGAACCTGTTCTAGCAGGGAGTTGGACTTGATGATCTCCAGAGGTCCCTTCCAATCCCTATGATTCTATGATTGTGTAACTACACAGCAATAAGACCAAGTAGGGCAGAGACTGAAAAGCTGTGTGGAAGTGTGCAAAAATGTCTGCCTGTCCTTTTCTCAAAGCTTTGTTTCATTACCAGAAGAAAACCAACAATGTTTCTCTCATTTTTAGACCTGCCTTGATCTCTGTCCTTTTCAAGTTCTCTGCCTTACCACCCACCAGAAATAGCCAGAGTTGCCATTACAATACTGCAAATCTAATGAACAAGACATACTGGAATGAAAGAGGAATCTTTTTCTCTAAATTGGACATATAAGAAGACTTGGAAATTAGTCTTAAATGACACAGAATATCAAGTTTTCAGAGTTTATGACAAAGCTAAAGGGAACGCTGTCTGCAGTAAAGAAGAACCAGGAGCCTACTGAGAGCCCTTAGGCATGCAAGGAGCAAGATATCTGAAATGTAAGTGCTGAATTAATTCTGTCAACGACGTCATTTATACTGATGGAGGACAGGCCCCACATCAAACTTCACTGTAGCATAATGAAGGTGACTTTGTACTTATAAGTCTCTAGGGAACTCTTTGCTTCTTTTTGCACAAATGTCTCAGATGGTAAATATTCAGTAATAGTTGTAGACTGTGACAACTTAGATTACAGCACCCACTAAAAAAAGTAACTTGTAGAAAGGTACTAACAGATGATCTAGTAGTAGCTTCAGGTTTCACTAAGTCTTTCCCCTCTTCTTTGGTTTCCTTCAGTATTCCTTAAAGTTCAGAGTGGTCTGTGGAAAAGTAAAGCTAATTGGGAATCAGCCTGCCAAGTTATGATGCTCAGTAGCAAAACATAGCAGAGGAATGCAAAGAGGTCAGGGCTTATTTTGTAATAAACAGGAGAAAAAGCAAAAGAGAGCAAAAGGAAAAAAACAATCAAACAAATAACAACACCTTGAGCATAATAAATAGTGAGGAGCAAGAAAATGTGCATTATGGTTTCTGCGCCGAATTCAGGTCATTTTGAACATTGTGGAGGTTCTTTAGTAAATTAGGAGCTGCCAAAAAAACACAAGGGATGCTTTCATGAGCAAGTTCCTAGAATGTAGGCAGGAATTATCTGTTTCCTTAACCTGTATTTTCAGGTAAAGGAAAACGCAGATGAATGTGATATTTAGACCTACCTGGTTTGAAATGGGGTAATGAGTGGACTCCAGGCCATGTATCTTCATTTGGTGTTCCAAGTACCTGTGCACAACAGAAAAAGAAACAAGCAGCTTTAATGGGAAATCATGATGATTCATTGCATTGCAAAAAGCCATTCCTCCAAAGAGCTCAATGTACCTCAAAATCTAAATTGTATATAGGCTTAATTATTAGGGGTACAAAAAGCTAAAAGTTACTGTGGTTACAAGGTACCATTGGAGCTAGTAAATGATGGTATGTTTGCATCAGACAACCTGCTTGACTAATACATGTTAAAGCTACTTTCCACTGACTAGTTCAAGCTACTCGCATGATGCAGAATGCTGATGTTACACAGGCTAAATTTTTGACCTTGGAAATAATTTCAATCCCTGTAAACTTAACTGAACAGACACTTAGTAACAGATGTCAGGATAGAAGATTTATACAGATGATAAAACAGATGACTAAGAACATGGTGTGAATAGCAACATGCTCAGATTAGCTGTCATTTTAAATGGATGTAGTAAGCTTAGAACAAGTGACATTTTAGAAAATACAGAAATTATTGACTCATAAATTGTGTTTTGTTTCTATTCCCTTCAGCTTGTAGCACAAATCAGACTAACTGTTAGCAGGAAAGAGCTTAACACTTCTCACTTCCATCTTATATTCTTTGCCCACATGAAAAGTTCAACTCCTGGTGTCTTTGGCACAAAAGATAAATTAGTTGAGAGAGCAGCTATATTTAATTCTTCCACAATTGTTTTTACTTTATGATACATAAGTGACAGTGCTCACTTTAAGTGTGTCTGGGAGGAACATCTGAAATAGCAGCTCTAAAAATGGGATTCTAAATGAATTGCAGAATTTGGGAATCTCCTGTGGGATCTTCCCTGTTACAAATTTTCATACAGCTTCTAGCATCAATGAAAATCCTAGGGACTGTTTTCAGTATTTGCTGTAAGCTCAGACCCTGGAATAAAGACTTGATTTTGTGAAGTGAATGCATCTCACACTGGTATTGTGCTCATTTTGCATTGTCATAAGCATAGAAAACCTCTCTGCCAGTCCTGCCCCTACCTGTACCACTGACCTTCTGAATACATCTTTCATCCTGTGTAGCTTATGTCACTGTGACACTGTGCGGTGACTTACTCCAGCACAAAATGAGCATCACAAACACACTATTTGTGTTTATAAGTTAATGCTTAAAAAATTCTGTGGAAAACACACACAAAAAAAATCTTCGAAACTGCCAAAAAAATATTTCATGCTATTTAGAAGTTGGCTTAAAAATTTGAAGTAGAAGCAGTGTCTTGTTAGGCAGAGACAACTACAAGGTGAGTTTTATGACTTCAGGGCACCAAGTTTGTTAAGCAATTTACAGTATTGCCTGCTTCTAATATGAAAATAGTAGTGCAAAGACACTCTACACAATGATTAATGCCTCACATAGAAGAAAACACATCTAAATTGGACCGTTTGCAAGAAATTGCAAACTGAAAGTGGAACATCAAGGTGCCAGAGAAACAGAGACATCAGTCTCCTTTTAATTAGACAAGTTCACTAATTATATTTGTTAATATTATTTGCAGAATCTTGCTGTCAGTATTTGTGAAACAAGACCTAATCAGCATATGAAACCTTGCCCTTCAACCCAGACCATCACAACACCAGAGCTCACTTCATTATTGCTATAAATGCTTTGAGTGCTACTGCTAACAGTGCTATGATTAAACATAAAAGAAGTTAGAGACACCGCTGACCCATTATTACATGATTAAATAAATTTGCTTTTGTAAGTAACTTTCACCTCCCCGGTACAGACGCGCATGTACAGCTGGTGCCAAGCAGCATCCAGACCAGGAGAGGGAGCCCGTGGATTAGAAACAGAGCTGCTTCAGTCTGCTTGTTTAAACTGAGAAATGGGGCCGGCACTTTGCAGCCCCACTTGCAAGTGAGAGGAATATTCTCTCACAAAGTGTTATGAATGTAGTAAAATTAGTCACACCTTTTCAAATACATATTTTCAATTTCCTCTTATTTTAGATGACATATAGGCAGCTAAGTCATTGCAAGCTGAATATTAAAATCCACTAACAAAATATGAAGCTTACAGTAGGATACTTATCAGAACAATTTAAGGTAGAACTTGGAGCTATGGAAATGAATTATTCTGATTTTCAACAGAACAGTAGACCCAACAACGGAGGGCTTGATGGAAGATGACTTCTGTAATGAATATTATGTGACTCACAGTTCTTCTTTTTCACCAGTTTTCCAAACCATTCCTTTAATAACATCCCAGCACATCTGCTGTTATAATGTTTAAGAGCCAGCTACAAATGAGTACTGTGCAAGGCAGCATTCAGACTGCCTACAACATTGATACCTTCTGTCAAGGGTAGCAGCAGTTTAGAAACAACCAGGTTTTTCTATCATCTAAATGCCTGCCATTTCCAGGTAGGAGCAGCTGGTAGTTCAGGCAGTGATCCAGAGCCTGTATTTCAATTCTTTGTACAAACACCAGAAAGATCATCCTTATTCCATACACATATTAACATGCAGAAATTCACAATATGTGACTATCAATCAACAAATAAGGAGGAGAAGGCAGCAGGGAAACAACTGTGTTTTTAATAAAATGAAACAATCACTGCTCACAGGTATGTCACTATAAAGTGATTTGTAGGCAGCACTTTGCGCAAGTAATGCAGCAATTCATCCCATTTTGATGAGCGGGTATCAGGCAACTTAAAGTGATGAGTTTTGACATCTGCTATAAGCAAAGAAATGAGAGTTCACATCACAATAAAGTGGATGATCTCCTTGGTTTTCGGCTTGCAAAAGAGAGTTAAGGGACCAATCTGAAGAAGGAAAGCAGAGCCAAACAATCTGGTTTTACTTCTGAACTCTATCCCATAGCTGTTAAGAGTGTTTGTCCAGACCCTACCACTGTCAACACCTTGGCACTGCAGGTAAATCTGATTACATGAAGGATTTGCAACTGCTGTGGAAGATACAGGAGACAGTCTGCTGGACATCCACCTAATGCTGTTACTTTGTGGCTGACCTCACGGCTGTGACCATTCCTGCATGGGCAACCACTTCTCATCCCAAGCATGCCACCAAGAGTTCAGTCTTTTCTGCGTACTAACATCTTCCCTTTCAGTTTCACACAGATTCCAGAAACAAGAAAATAAACACTGCTGTCGCATAATTCAAGCCCCTGTTTAAGAATGGAAGTAGTCTTATATTTATTACTGGGAATTGTTTGGAAAAAATAAGACTAACTCATATTTTTTCTAATCATAATCTGCATATCAGCAAGATAAAGATTCAACTTGTATTCTTTGATATCCTATTCTTAATTGAATTGCCTACACAAAACAAAACAAACCCCTACAAATCTCAAATTTGGAATGGATTTAGTGTTTGCCACAGGCCAGGAGAGTTATAGCTTCTCTAATGAAAAGTCCATGCCCTCATGAGGTTTTGCTGTTCCACGATACATACAATTACAACATGAAAAAACACCCTGAACTCATTTATTCCCTAACAAACAAGATAAAATGACCTTAATTTGTCATTTGAAATTTGATGTTCAAAATCAAGATTAGATTCTGATCTAATTTGCATGGTGAGAAATCTATTTATATGAAAATAACAGATTTCCAGTGCATGAGGGTACTGAGGGCCAAATACCCTCACTGTGAGTTGATGCTGTTACGGTTTGGCAGCAACAATACATGGAAAGTTATGAAAACAGAACCTGCAGTTCCGATATCCATAGACAAGCATAAAATAGACAGATTGCCCAGGAAACGCAACACAAATGCATTAAGGTCTACTGTATTTCTGTAACTTTTTGATAAAAGAAATAAGTTGCTTGCTTTTTACATCTTATTTTACAAAGACTCATAATTCACCTCACGAACGTGCTCCCTTGTGTGCAAGGGAATCATTATTTTATGGTGAGCATTATGCCAATCTATCAACACAATTAGCTGTGAAGTCCTGCATTCTGCTTAGAAAGCATTCCCTGTTACATCCATGTAATAAGGTCATTCCAGCTAACTATTTGTCCAATGAAGTCACCTGATTCTCTTGTGAGATGAGCAGTAGTGCACATCTTTCCCACCAGCTCTTTCTCCAGTGCCACAATTAGTAAAAAAAGAAAAAAAAGTATTTTCATTTCTAGTACAACTTTTGAATATATCAAGCCATATATTCTTGAAATAGTGCTAAATACAATGATATTCAAGTAAAGCAATGGTCTGGATTTTAACAAGACAAAAATGTGCAGCTAGTGGATTATTCAGGGTTTTCTAGCAACAAAGCAGAATGAAAAACAAGATCAGCATGCAAATGAGATGCCTTTCCTCAGAAAAAAATATGGAAATTAGGCTAAGCAATTTGCTGAATTTTCAAGTCTTTTCTTATTAGGTCAACTTGGTGAGCAAAGTTTAGTAAAAAATAAATACGAGGACAGTGAATCATACTTTTTCTTTAATGAAAAGACCTTAGAATTTAAACTAGAATGAGTTACAAACTGTTTGTAAAAATGTTATTTTCTTTTTTTTTTTCTTTTTTTTTTTTCTTTTTAATTTTTCTTTCCAAAGGTCATCAAGATTGTCTTCCTATTCATTCCCTGAGTAAGTCTTACTGCATTTAGTGTGAGCCTTGGGCTGTCAGACACCATAGGAGAGATCTGTCTGAGGAACTGAACTTATTAAGAGAATAAGAGAATAAGCATTGTAGAGTTACTTCCAAATCATCAATCTCTTTCTTTTTAGTGAGATACAGAGGCCTCTGGCATTCTGTTTTTCAACAAAAACCTGCTACATTCATCCAAACTACACATTTCTAGTGAAACTCCCAAACTTCCAACTTAGTCAAAACACCAGGTGCCCTTTCCATTTTGGTTGGATAAAGGTAAGTTAGCTGTTTAGATCTGGCTCTTGATAATCAGGGCAAATTCCATGATGCTCCACCACTCACAGGGCTTCTGAATGGGCAATCTTGCATTTGCAAAAAGACAAACTCACATGATCTCTTTT